CGGATTGCTCCAAATGAGATGTCAGGCGAGACGATGAAAGGACGACAGCGGCAGATAATGTAAAGAATCTCGCTCAGAACAGCTGGGTGACTCAACCCAACATAATTTCATGTTTTCTTTCCCGCATGCATGAAGCTTCACATTATTCCTTTCATCTCCGGTTGTGTTTACCTTTGCTTCAAAGAGCAAGTGCTCATATTTCTGTTGCTCACACCACGCACCGCAGCATGCGGTGATTAAACAACCTCTCCTCTCTCTCAAACTCAGATCGGAGAAGACGATGAAACGATGTCGACGGAGTAAAATATTCCTTATCCAACAGCACAGAAAGGGACACTATGTGCTGCATTTCAGATTAATATGGGCTGTAATAATGCCTTTGGCTGACATGCCCCTTTAAATTGGGATGCAGTGAATTAATTAATAAACGTGATGAACCTCTACTCTTCTAATACGGACCAACTTTTAATTGATTTAATGGGCTCTTATCAGGGGCTGCGCGTTCCCCTGAGAAATGGGGGGTAAAAAAAGAGCAGGATTTCCTTAAATATGTAGAATAACTAATATTTAAACTCCCACTTATTTTGCAAAATGTTTGAGCATAGAGTTGTTTTTCTCCAGATTTTGTATGATTACAACTCAATTTACATTTAGGACACTGGATAAAAGGTCTTTATTAGATGATTGTTTTACTTGATTTTTAAGTTTTTTTTCATTGACTACAATTTCTGTACATTCACAAACAAACCTTTCATAAATACTACCTATCTTGACAAAGATCTGCTTTTCTTTTAAGTGTTTAAAGTGAAAATAAAAGAATGGCTATATAAATAAATCATCCTGCCTAAAAGAGCATTGGACATGACAACTGAATAAAACCCAGGTTTGAATTGCCACCACACAACATTTTTCTAAAAACCAGTTAAGCTTTTATGCATTCCTTTACAAAGAAAAGACCTGATTAAAGTTTCATCACTCCCCTAAGCTGCATTTGAATAGCGGAGCCCATATTTGGTCAACGAGGGGAACCGGAATTGCAGGAGCTTCCTAGTTTTCCTCATCACCATGCCCATATATAGCGCACGGAAGACAGACATTGTCCTTTTCTGTCACGATGACATCACCGACACACCATTTTTGGGCTGCAGATCGAGCGTCGTATTCCGTCTCTCGTCCATCGGAGCGGCTCCGGTCGAGGCGTTTTATGGAATCTATTTTTGGAAACGTGTGCAGAGTCGGCATGTTCTCCCAGGGCTGCGTGAGCTCCCACATCAATGCGGGGGTGTTTGCAGACACAGAGTGCAGTAGTGAAAGAGGAGCGAATGAGTGGGATAACACTCCACTCTGCAGCAGCGGAATAGCTCCTTTCTCTGCATAGAGTCTGGTGAAAGCAGAGCAGTTGGTCAAACTAGTGCAGAGTCGATCTGAAACAGAAGCATCACATCCTCTTCCTGTGCCAGTGAGGCATCAGTTCACTGAAGTAAAGAACAACTCCACTCCTGATAAACTAGCATCCCCCACTAAGGACGTACGAGTTTGTTCACCTTGAATCGAAAAGTGAACAAATTAATTTATCTTCTTTATTTTAGTGTAACATGCGAACTGTTTAATGGTAAACTTGGATAAAAGTGAGACTACTTTACTTCATTATTCAGCTTTTCTGTTTTCTCAACCGGTTAACATTTTTGAGAAATTTCGCTTCGCCTTACCTACAATTTGTTTCTCACCATCTAAATGAAGCAGATAGTTTTTTTTTCTTTTACATTAATTTAGTTGGACTCACTGTAAATTAATGTGTTTTACAATCACAAGGTTGAAGATTAAATTTGTAATTTAATCCAACACACCTACAAAAACCATTTTAATCCATAAATACTATACTTTATTATTTAAACTGCTTAAAGAAAATTACTATAGATGTTCAGAAATCGGCTGGTGACAGAACTGAATGATCAGTTTCAACTGGTGACCACCTGGTCATAAGCGCAAAAATATGATCTTTTTCCTGTGAATGCGTCTCCATAAACCTAATCAGGTCATGCTAAGAACAACCCTCTTTAGTGTGGAGGTTGATACTGAAGAATTAAAGACTCTGTTTTTTATTTGTCGCATCACAAGTCAAAGGAGGAACAAAAGTAGTAGAAAAAACTTTTCAAACATGAACTGTATGATCTACAGAGATGATCTGATCACTACAAGAAGGTAGACTTTGGCAGAGACTATAGACATTTAGCTTTTTTAAAGAATAGCACTATCTGTTAATGAGTAAGTGGGTCCTCCCTCCAATATAAAGAATGAGAACTCATGATACAAAGACTGAAAGATGTTTTGTTGAACCCCAATGGTTACAGATCTAAAAGAACAATCTGGTCTGCACAGCTCTATAAACCACAGTTCATCCATTTCACCCGGGACGACGCTTTTTATTCAGATTTAATTTGACAAAACCCAACACCTCCTCTCCTAATGTCATCCAGTCACATGGAGCTCCCCGTCCTCCGTCCACGTGCGAATGCCATTAGCTGTTGTTCATCACAAAACTCTGACTAATTTCATTGTTTCATGATGAAGTGGCAGAATATTTCTGGAAAGATTCAAGCAGTTTACAGTCCAGTCATTCCTGTGCAATAAGCCATGACGGCTCCAATTACATTAATTAAAATGCTTAAAAAAACAGTCGACTCTGAATCATCTGCATTCAGTCCACATCAAATACAAAGCTCTGGAAAAAAGGTGATTATCCCTTCCGCAATGCATTCAGTGGCCGTAGCTCTGATCCCAGCAACCAAACTTCAGCTCACACCCAAGTTTTGACACACACACACACACAAATCCACAATCCTTGTTATCTGCTAATTAATAGGCTTGAGAACGTTTTCACATAATCCAAGAACAAAGCATTCAGTGTTTCCTGACCTCTTCTACAGCAATGCAGAGAGAAATCCTGGAGTTTACGAAGCCACCAGCACAGCGTCTCTTTGTGATGGAAAAGACTGAGGGACGCTGATTACTTTGAGTCACTGAACTGAACAAATCGGGAGGAAAAAAAAGAGCTGGGAATTATATTTAATCAGTTCTCCCTACCTACCAATAAATCCCCTGATGTTTGGCTGCATGCGTTTGTATTCTCTTATGATTCTAGACTGTCGGATGTTCCGTAGGTAATAATGCGTTGATTAACGATCAATTTTATATTCTAATAAAAGACGTAATGTGATCTATGGGACCGATTATGTGTAGATTAGAAATGAGCACTTTCATTTGCATCCAATCAAGAGTCACGGCCGCCCTGAATACCTAAAAAAAAAAGAAAAACACTGTGCAGAGTTAACAGAACAAGCCAAAGCATCCGTCCCTTCAGCATGCACAGCCAGCCGCTGCTCCCAGCACTGCTGATACATGAGGACAGCATCAATCCATTCTGCTCCGTCTTTTCACTGAAGGCGGAGGGAGGTTCTGCAAAGTTTAATGGAGTGGCTGAGTCATGTTTAAGCTGCCAGAAGAACAGAAAAGGAGTCAAGAAGGCCACATCAAGCAACCCCTCTACACGAACACACACTCATGCAATGCAGAAAACATGGGAGCAAAGCAACAAAGCTGATGGAAATGGGGACAATATGAATGAGTGATGGGGAGTTTGGACCCAAAACAACATGCAAGTATTCAGAATAGTCACCGTGTTGAAGAACCACAAAAAGCTATTTTTCTGTAAACGTAATAAAAACGGCACGAATCTAAAGGTTACATCACAAACTTAGTAAAAGGTAAATGTTTAAAGACAAAAATCTTCCCTTTTCACTATGTATTAAGGAGGCTGCCATCAACTGAGGCCGTAGGCGTTTGGCTCAAATAAACTACAGTGATAAAAAGAAGATCACTGTGAATAATGAAGTTGAATCAGATTTGAGGGGTGGGGGGGAGAAAAGCTTTTAATACTGTTATATTGGGTATAAAAGCTCCACTGAGTATCCACACTAAAATAGGTGGCGTATTAAAATGAAATGACGCTTCAAAGAGCTCCAAAGCATGAAAACAGCTCCCCCTTTAAATATTAAATCCAGCAGCTATATCCTCTCACACATCTCAGATATTCATTTTATTCTCCTCTTAGCCTTCACTTCTCTGTGGCTAAATTATGTCAGAGTCAAACTGTGAAATAAAAAAATAAGAGCTTGCATCAACTCCGAAGGATTCCCGCAGTTCCTGCCACTTTGTGGTATCTACGCCTAAAAAGATGTGCCCATCTGCGCATCTGCAACTTGTTGCCACAGCCCCCATCAACACCAAAGCAACGTCCGTACTGAGCAAGCAGAACAAGACCTGATCCAGCCGAAACCAGACAACACACTGTGTGAGGGCGGAGTGACTGTAGTTGCGTTTCCATTACAAATTTGCGCAAAACTTAGTTGATAAATGAAAAAAAAAAAAAAAAGCTGCAGTGTTTTCTTTAAATAATACAAATTAATAAGATTCCTCACAGAATAAAACTTGCCACACCGTCATCCTCCCACCACTTCCTGTCGTTTTCTTTGTCATTTTTGCCAGTAGTAACTATCTACTGTTTGATTACATGACTCTTGATGCAAAAAAAAAATACAAAGTGATTCCATTGTAGTTTTGCGAAATAAACTAATTTCGTACTTTTTATTGAAACCGACACGTTTCCATTAATTTTTTTTCCGCAGTTCCAATTTGCACAGTTATATTGTGAATGGAAACGCAGCTAACGAGAGATTGCTGCTCAAATCAGATGGTTTCACCAATGTTGATATTTGGACATGTGCAAGTGTCGTGAATGAAACAAGACGGGAAATGTTTCAACTTGACCGTGAAACCCTCTCTTTTTTGTCATGACGGTGGAAAGTTTGCATGTGTATGCAGTGGGTGGTTGGTCATCAGCTGCTTCTGCTCCACCAGTACAAGCCGCCATCCCATCTGCCTGTCCAAGCCCCACCCCCATTCACTTCACCAGGGGAACCACTGCCACTACCAGGACTCACCAAGATCCTTAGAGCCTTGACTTTCGCTGGCCATCTCGCCCATCCGCACCAGAGCGTCGAAGTAGCCCTTTGCAGCAAATGTGACACCTGGAAACATGGAAGCATTGGGCATCAGATCAAGGGTGCCGAGTTGAACTGTCTTCTTCAGCTCTGCAACCGTTCCCTGCAGCCCTCCGCTCCCACAGAGAGGCGAGCTCGGGCATGGGAAAAGAGCGATAGGCGGAAATGGTGACCAGGCAGGAAAGGAAAAAGCTCTATGAAGCAACTGCAGGAAGCAGAAAGCTGCAAAGATTTTTTTTTTTCTCAAGGCTTCGACTCCAAACTCACTTTCTATCCAAACTACAAATTGATCAAAATGTTATTCGTAATACTTACACACTACGAAAGATTTTTTTTAAAGCAGTGTGTGGATTTGATATGTGGAGATTATTAAAACAACGATGCAGAAATCCAAAATTTAGGCCAAGTTAAATTAAAAAGGTAAAACTAGATATTGTAGTTTGTTTAAAATTTTGCTAGATCTAAGCTATTTAGTGGATCTTTACTGAAAACAAACTACATTCTTAGGTGGAGAATTCATAAATTGGACTTTAAAATGCCCCACCAGCACCCCTCCACTCCAATTACATTCTTTACACCTCCTGTCAAAAATCTCTACATCAAAGTCTTGAAAGCATTCTTCAGCTGAGATCCTGTCAATCAGCCACGGTTTCTTGGGTTGCATCATATCACCTGCAAGGTTCGCCAGCTGAGGCAGAGCAGTGAGCCAGACCTTGAAGGGGACAAGCTGGTGGCAAAGACAGGAAGCGGGTCGGGGGCTCGCCACACAAGGACTGACGGCAGACACGGGTCGGATGTGGAAGAGAGCCGGGTTCATTACAGAGCTGTCAGCCAGATGAGTGTTTGTGCTCTAAGCTGTCACAGACCACTCTCCGAATCCCATAGAGGAGAGGAAAATGACAAAGCATTCATATGGAAAACAATAGGAATCTATTCTGAGCCCAGTCCAGAGCGACACAGCATGAGGTCCACCGCTATGCGAGTCATTGTTCTGGAAATAAAGACGGTTTCTGCCTTGGATTTCTAAGATCGACACGACTTTGGCTGCAACTGCCTGCAAGGGTCCAACCCTTCCCTTCTCCATCTCTGATTCAAACCTTGGTTGTACACCGGTGAGGACGCGGAGAGGTTAATCTTATTGATACCTCAGCTGGGGGAGAAAAGGGGCCCAGGCGAAACAGATTTAACTGGATGAGAGGCTTTACCCATCAGTCAATTGTGAAGTGGAAAAAAAAAAGACCCAAAGCAATAAGGAGGGTCAGTTTAGTCAGAGGATTAGATGGGGGCTGACAATGCAAAGGGTGTTAGTGTAAAAGAAATACAGGATGGAGGTCAAGATGGTTGATACACTATCTAAATGTGTTTGTTCATGTAAGAGAAAGAGAAGATTTTTATTTATTTTATTGACGGCACAGCATTTTAAACTTGGTAATCCATAAAAAGTAGGTTCCTAATGAACTCGTGACATTACAGAATTTCTTCTTAAGGCAGACTAACTTATTAATTCTCCTTTAGCCACCAGGGACCTTGTCTTTTGGAAAAAGCGGGCACTCCTGATGTCAACGATGACATTAATGGCATCACCTGCTGTGGCCTGTGCTTAAGGTTGGAGCTCATCTTGTGTACATAAGATTTGGGCCTCGACAGAAAGCAGCGTTTGGCTACAAGGGATACATTTTTAGCAAGACAAAAGCAGTTTAAAGACGCCCCGTCAGGCATCCGCCATCTTCATACATGGAGCTCAGCAAATGGGGACGTGCTCACTGTCCTCAGTTATCTTAAACATTTTAAGGCTTCAAAAACAAAACAGTCACTCAGCCGCCCCCTCGTGAATCATGCTGGTTTAAACCCTCCTTTGGGATAAAGGCTGCCACCCTGATTCTACTTTAAGAACCAGCAAATAAAAGCAGACTGGCATTTTTTTTTTTTTTTTTTTGTCCAGTGACAATAAAATGATTGCCGGGTACCCAGCCCTATTCTGCTGCGCCTGAGTCTAAACTCTAGCCCTGCGTTGCTGCCTGGCATTGATGAAGTGCAATCCCCACTCAGGGAGTTTCAGGGTTATTTTTAGCTTTATCTATCAGACAGGAATGAAGCCTCCTTTATTGTTCCTGTAGGCAGCTGAGTCTTCCCTGCATCTCCTCTAAACACAAAGGAGAACCCTGCTCCGCACCGTACACTCGGCATGCCATGTCTCTTTCTCCTGCTGCAGACAAGAGTCAAGTGTTCTCTAAAACCATCAAATTCTCTCCCAGTACTGCAACTCCACTCAAATATCATTAAAAACAATAAAAAGCAGCAGAATACCCTTCAGTTTTGGTCATTTTGTATGGAAATATCCAATATTTTTCTTCTCCTGGTTTTTATTTTACTCAGTCTCGTCCTGGATTTGCTCTCAACCTGCTCCCATTTCCTTGGCCCCATGGGTGGGAGGGGTACCGTTACGTTAGCAACACCCCCCGCTCCATTTCCCATCGGCTTATGCTCCACTTAGCTCCCACAAGACGTTTCGGTTGCTTCGTCTTTCACCTTGAGCCATTGCTGTTTGCAGCATTTTCTCTCTCACACAAACACACATGACCATGCAAACACATGAGCAAAAGCAACTAGAAGCGATGATGGATGATGCACAGAAAAAGCAGACATTTAGGAGATGAAGTCACGGGACAGCGAGAAGGGAGACGAGACGAGAAACGGTCTGGAAACCCGTGAGATTCATCAGACGGAGAATATCAATCCATTTCTAACCAACAAGAAATCTTCAACAGTTTAAGTCTGGATTCAGACTGCAAAACATTACATTGCACAACATCTGTATCATCGTGACTTTACCCCAACTCCAGATGAGTCAGGAGGATCTAAATCAGCACCAGGCGTTGGGTCAGCTGGCCCTCCGCCTGGACAGCCAATGAACGAAAGAGACGCCGCCACAGAAAGTAAACAGAGGAGGGCTGGTGTACTCACTGGTGAGCGCCTTCTCGTAGCTCTTCGCCATGGCTATGAAGTTGCGTAGGCACGGGTTGAACTGCTCCATGATGTTCTGTAAAGAGGAGCGGGGACAAACAAAAAGATCTGGTTAGCCTGGGACGGAGACGACGCAAATCTGACATGAGCTACAGTGACCCAGCAGCACTCCGCCTGTTTTTCTGGGGCACGAACACACCGCCGTCTACAAATCAGCTGAGCCAACCGGCAGGAAGAGCAGCGCAGGAAGGACTCGTTTCAAGAAGCCCAAATCCAGCGGGACTGAATAAAGGACGGAACGAGAGCACGAGTGACTGAGGGATTTTTGTGTCTGTGTGTGAATATTAGTATGTGTGCGTGTGTGTGTGGATCAGTCCCTCACACCTCCCCTGCTGTATCCATTTTAAATAAAACCTGATTTTGGCTGCAGACTCGGAGCTCAGCGGCAGATCTGGACCTGCTGCAGCTTCTCCTCACTCTGGCACAAACCTGCGGTCAAGAGGCTATTTTTGAAAAAGGATAATTTCACCAAAATGACAGACGTGACTTTCACCAAAGGTCATTACCGCTCACGAATAGTTGCAGTTCTGCTAAAAAGTTTTAAACCAACACTAAGATTTCATTGCACATTTCTCCCACACAGCCAGACTTTTTATTGATATTGAGTGAGCCGAACTTTCAGGAGGTTTTCCAAAGTTTTCTTTTGGATTTCTAGCTTCTTTTTCCATATCATCTTCTGTCCGAGAAGAGCATAACAGAATACAAAGCTCAACAAATGATCTGTTATGTTCCTTCCTGCCCCTCTGTTTAAAGAAATGCCAAGAGAGATGAATCACCTTTTAGTTTTTTTAACGCCCGTCCTCAAGGGCTGGTGTTCAGCAGGATTTAGATTTGCCGTCAGTGTAACACAGCTCATTTAAATGGCTGAATTACCTCTTCAATGTGTCATCACATTGTGCAGAGGCCTGGTAATGAGCCATTGACTTGATTAAGATGCACCAAGTCAGGGCAACACCTGAAACATGCAGGATGGGGGCCCTTGAGGACTGGTTTTGGACAACACTGCCTCAGAGAGCCCAGAGAACCACTGATCAAGATGGGTTTGAAAGGTTAAAAGGATTTCTGGTTGTTTGAGAACAATACATGAAGAAAAACAGAGGATTCAAGAATCAAGAACTGATGTGCACGACTAGATACAAAAGCATCCAGTGGCAAATAAGAAAAGCTAAGAAAATTCTGGGTTGCAGCTTGAAAACCGTGAACAAGTTGTCCTCATGCATTTCAAGACACACAAACCTCAGGACTTCATCTTTCTGCCTCTCACTTACAGAGCCGTCTGTCAGAAAGCACAAACATCAAGCACAGAGGCTTGAAGGCTTGTTAAAAACTGAGGAATCCGTCAAAAAGAAAAGTCTAATGAGTCTTACTGTTCATCCATCTCTGGCTTCTCTCTGCTTCCGAGATGCCCTTTAACCTCTGCAGCCTTTCCAACAAAGCCAAGCAATTTGAGAAGACATTTCTCTCCCTGTCAGACGTCACTGTGAGCCTCAAGTTCTTCTACAGATGCAGCTCTGGTTCACAGCAAAGCAAAACAAATGGAATCAGCCATTATCAGAGGAACTAAGACCCAGCTATAGAAAGTTTAGAGTGTCTAGTAAAGTTTTGAACAATCATTACAGTTCAAACTAGATAAGATTTAAGTGCCATCTATACACAAAGGTAAAGAATATTAAAAGTGCCATGTTAGGCTGCATACTCAAAGTGGGAACCAAATATAAAGTATGAGGACTTAAGTCAGCAACTTTTCAGGTGAAAAAACATTTTTGATTTGAAAAAAAGTTAAGACGACAAAGAACAAAAAGGAGGACAGGAAAAAATAACGAAGCAGATGGAGGGAAGGACACATCTGAGGCAGACGGACATTTGTTCATGGCTGCTCGCAGCTCGGGATGCCTGCTAATGCCCGGTGGCTGACGCACAACAGTCACCTTGGCGCACCAACTCCATCAACTCCAAAAAAGGAAGTAAGAAGTAGGACAGCGTGACACTGGAGTACAGAAGAAAAAAAAAAGAAAGAAAAACAGGAATCTTAATGGAAGTTCAGTTTGAAACGGTGAAGTAGAGCGGGACATGAAGTGAAACGAACCGAAGCTTCTGTGGTGTTCTTTGTGTAAAGCTGAACACGTGTTCAAAACAAAGGCTCAGATCCAGTGATCTATAAGTCCATGAGATGAATGTCGGTTCATTTTGAAGTCACAATCATAAAAACAGAGAAAGATGGACAAATAAACAGCTCCGTTTATACCCCAGTTCCTCCCGCTCGTTCCCAGCTCTTGTTGCATAGGGCGTCGGCTCCAGACCAAAGTGACTCTGTGAAAGTGCATCAGCTCCGATGATCGTCACCCTGATGTACCGCCGCCTGGAACGAGCGGAGAGAGGCGCTCCGTACAGGAAAACAGAAGATGGAGAGCAGCCCAGGGCTCATCGCGTGCTCACACAAAAAACACCCGGGAAGGGTTTGTTTGTGTTGAGTGATTGAGTGATGGGTGAATCATGTGCTCACTGTCAGACACGTCCACCTTTATGCGTCACATTCTGGGTGATCTGCGAAAATAAAAAATGTGATTTTGGGATCCTTTGTCTTTCGGCTGAACTAAAAAAAATAAAATTCACCAGCAGAGGATTTCCCACACAGACAATGAAGATGAGGTAAACACTGTGAATAGCTTCTTGATGAACTTGAGTGCATGGATAAACATTTTCCTCATTCATGAACCCATCTAAATATGTAAAAGCTGATTAAAAGTTTCTGAATAAAGAAAGTTGGCATTTCTAAAAATCCTGTCTTCATCTTTTACCAAAATGTTACTCTAAAAATCACAACCAAACCAAAAACTTAACTCAGTTCTGAAATTATGAACAATTATCAAACCTAAAAGGAGTTCATACATAAGTGGCACTTTATTCATGCCACTTTTGCAGACTTTCAAGCCAGACAGCAGGATTTAAATTTTTTTTGTTTGTTTTTTATGATTTAACTAATTTATCTTTACAGGAGAAACTGGCATAGAATAACTCAGGGCCCAGGATTTTCCATCTCATACATTTATTTTCTTACCCACAATTTCTCTGCTTGTTGAAACGGGAACATTTCCACAATGAAAATGTTAAGAACATCAAGACACTGACTACACATCAGTCCAAGAACCCCACTTCAAAATATATGAACTAGCTTGTTATTATTTTGCAAAAGGAAAGCAAAAGTGATGCCAGCTATACTAATATTCAAGTCTTATACAATAAAAGGGCTTTTCCTTTCTATGCTTAACTTTATTGGAAGAGGCGTAAATAAACTGACATTAGCAAACAGACAAACTGAATAACTATCGTATTAGTTTAGATAACTAAATTGATAATTTAGTGAGTCTAGACAAGATTTCTACAAACACACCCATATTAAGATCTCATCAGACGGCGCTCACATGTGTTTTTTGTTTTTTAGGGCTGGGTTTAATAGGTTTATTTCCGTGTTTGGTGCACATTTAATCCACAATGAGTCAGTTGTTGTTCCTTAAGCAGCAGAGACGAGAGCTGATTAGCATTTCTCTGAATAAAGGACCACATTTTACCGAGTGGACGGGAAATAAGAGGGATTACAGAACAGCTTTTTCAGCCATTAGTTTCAGTCACATGTCAGCAAACGAATGCTGCAACTGAAAACACTGGTTTTCTTTTCTCGTTGCAGCAATGAAATGTTGGAACTCCATCTTTGACCCAAATTAATTGAACATGGAACAAAATCACAGAATATATACGGAATTGAATCAGTTTTCTGAGGTGAAGCGGAGGGTTCCCCGATTTCAAACAGGTTGTGAAAACGCAGTTTACTACTGCTTTCAGGGACAACAGGCCAGCATTTTTAATGCTCATGTTCCTAATCAGGAGCAGCTTAACTGCTGCAATGACACTAATGATGGGACATTTGGAAAATGTACCATGAAGGGAATAATTACTCCCGCTACCAGAAGAGCCGCACCATGCAAATAATTAATCGACTCAAGAGGGGAAAAATGGAAGTAACCTTTGAGAGGAGCAATTTGTGATGATAGAAGATTAAATATATTGACATTTAGCATTTTTAAAGGAGGAAACAGACATTTTAAAGACTAACGTGTTAGACTTAAAGGACGAGCCGACAGCATCCGTTTAGCAAGTTTTCACAAGTCAGGCAACAGAAAGCAATTAAACCCATTAAAGGCAAAAGAAAAGGTAAGATTTATTTATGAGATCACTTTACCTCGGTGGCTGTGGAGGGGTTGAAATCACACAACTTCACGCGCGTCCTCACATGATCAATCTCAGCTATATTAAATATTAATCTTCATTAAAAGGACAGGTTTGTTCTGAAAACACGTTGCAGTTGCTTACAAAACAGCTCTGGACCTTCAATCCGCTTTAAAATCTTATTCTAGGTCTACAGAACTCTGCAGGTTGATGCACAGAACATTTTCTGTGTTTATTACTTTGCATCTGAAAGTGGTTTGTAGTTCTACCCCACAACCTTGTAAAAATGTGTCCTTAGTGAAGAAGGCGTCACCGACATAAAATTAATGTAAAATTTATCCTTTGACCTTGAAGAGCAGCTAGAGTCATACTTTTTAGAGGGGAAGGAGCTGCAGGAAGCCCACCATCTTCTCACAGGAAACAGTCAAACCAAACATTCACCTCAGCCTGCAGCAGCAGTTTGACTAAATCATAAAGTTTCTCAATGAAAGAGTCCTTCACCTTCAAGGACTATTTGGTCTTTTAGGCACCATGTCAGATCTCCAGTTTCCTGCATCTGAAGCTGTTCCTCCTCAGTGTTTTAAAGAACTCTTAAAATCATTTCCTGGCATAAAATAATCATATGGGTGGCAATGCCGAGCTTACTATCCGTCATTATAAAAGGTGAATCATTTCGAGCGCCTTGGCGACCGCGAAGGAGGGGTAATATGTGGAGAAACAGAACAAGCCCTCAGCTTCAAGGTTAACAGATCTATCAGAGCGGCATGGAGACCACATCCCATGAAAGATGTG